AGAGAGAGAGAGAGAGAGAGAGAGAGAGACGAAAAGCAGCAGCTGAGTGAAGGTCCAATCTGACTCAATGAACGAGTGAACAACTGAAAGACCGACCAACCCGGCCTGGGCCTAGGCCGGAGAGATATACCGGCCTTGGTCCAGGTCGGAGTAACCCGGTACCGGACCGAGGTCAGACCGACGGCCTGAAATAGGTGAGGCCTCACAGCCGGGCCGAAAGGGTACGGCTACAATGGGAAATTTTGAAGGGCGGTGGCGATGGGGAAAAAAAAAACGCTTAAAAAGCAATGGACCTCCCCATTCAAAAACCGAATTTCAAATTTGGTGCTCAACGTCATGATGGCGACGAGGGCAGGTGACGTCCATACTGGCAACGGTGGAAACGGGCATTTGCAGGGGCGCAATGGAGTCCTCGTAAGTCGTCATGAATTTGTGAGCGCTCCACGAAGGTCCGTCGTCATCGCCTCCTCCTGCCGCCGTGCATATGTGTGGAGTCTAGCACACGCGGGGAACGTGGTTAGCGACTTGGTGCTGAGGTTGCCATGGTCGTGACGAGTTCGTAGGCTGCTGTATTCTCGTGGTTCATAAGCATTGCAACACACGTGCCGATGGAGGGTGGCAGCGGCGACGGACGTGTGAAGTTGACGACGATCGAGAAGACAGTCGTGCTCTTTCATTGTCAGCAAGAGGGGGCATTGGGCAGAATGAGAGCACAGATTTGCGCATGGAGGAGGAAGACACTTCATCAAGTCCCGGTCAAAGGGTGTGATATCGTGGCCATCATCGAGGCTGTGGTTCAGGTTTGCTATGGGTTACAATGTTCTTTCATGAGTGACGCCAATGTGGTGGATGAAAAGCAGGAGGGGGGGGGCGTGGAAAAATTCCAGGATTGGGATGATGCAACGGAGGAGTACTTATGGGAGAAGCTGCGTATGTCGCCATGTGTCTTTCGGGCGATGACGATTGTGCATCCAATGAGGACAAACGCCCACGGGATGCGCATCCAATGTCGATCCCTCGTCTTCTCTGCTGGAGACCTTCGATAGAGTTCGTCCATCAACAATAGAGGATGCACACGTGGAAGCGGAGGACCACGACAAGTGGAATTGTGACAAGGAGCAGCAGTGGCAGCCTTCAATAGAGGTCGACCATCAACGGCATGTACAAAAGGGCCGTAACTCCACGACGACGGTGAAGGTCCACCGAACGGTGATGATGAAGGAGCAAACATACAGCACACACACTCTAAGGGGCCGTTCGCCCTTGCACGACGAGCCAGGACGTGGCTTGCGCAGTGGCTCGGGGAGTGGTCCACTAAAGACCTGCTCTTTGCCTGTCGTCCGTCCAAGATGACGCCCTTCTTCGCAGAACGCCTCTTGTGTGTGTGTCCAGACAGCCTGTCGAGGATGCAGATGTGGAAGGTGATTAGAAGGACAAACAAAATGATTACCAGGAGCAGCAGTGGCAGCCTTCGAAAGACGTCGGCCATGAACGACACGTAGGGAAGGGCAGTAACTACACGACGCCGATACACATCCACCAAACGGTGACGAAGAGGGCAGCAAACGGCAGACTGCAGCATCCGACAAATGCTGTCTAATGTTTTACGTCGGTGAGTACAGTGGGGAATCGAAATGCGAGTTTGCTATAATATTCAATTTGCCGATTGTTGAAACCCTTTCCATTTGGTGGCACGCACTGCGAGGGAGAGCACCGGTTGAAGACGTTAGCGGAGGCCGCCCGGACACCAACAGTTACCGTTGGCGTAAGGATCCTAGAAGCCGAATGTTGACGATCCAAGATGTTCGTGCGGTGGCCGGTAGGTACTCCAATGGACCAGCCGACAAAAACTTCTTGTCGACGATGGGTGCCCTCGCCGCTCCGATTATCGCAGATCCTTGACCTACAAGGGACCTCGGGAGGTACCTTAGGAAGGCCACAAAATTGTGTAGCTCGAGGACGCCCCGAGGATTCCCGGAGAAAATGTTTTCACTTTTTTTTTTCCTTTTTATCGCTGAGGATAGGTGGAACGATAATTTTCTCGATGGGGACTTCATGCACCCAAGGAGTGTCTAACGAGCCCCTTGCCCCTTGAAAAAAAGGTGGAAGCGAATGAAAGCTAATATACAAAGATGTGTACATTGTCTTCGTCCAGGGATGCTTCCTATTTTATTTGAACTATACTTTTAGCAAATGTCTCCAACTCTTACCTTTTTGGCATATGCATGTAGGAATAGAACCCCTTTTCACCACTGGCCTAATCCAAGACTGGCGAGTCCATCTTTCCATGTTCTATAGCACTATATTCGCCATTTTCAACTTTGCCTCTTACGTATAAAGTCAAGCACAGCTCTGGAAAGATCCCATTTGCGCAGCGATATTGCCCATAGAGGTGTGGTCCCACCTCTTTTCTTCTTCGAAAGAATGTAAACGTGCCGCAAAGGTGGAGGTGCAGTCCACGGAAGGTACAAGAAAAACGCAATCTCCAAATGCCCTGCTTCTCTGTGACTTTTCCTATCCAAGCAGCACTATCACAATGACAATGGAACTCCAAAAAGAAGAAGATGACATGAGTTTTATTATCATGGCGAAATCACCTTCTCCCCAGCATCACCTTGACCTTCACCGCCAAGGTTCTCAATCCTTCTGCTCATCCTTCTCTCCAAGCAGCGCTATCTTGTGACGCCTCCTGGATCCAACGGCCTGCACGTCAGTAAAAAAACTTACTTAAGTTACCCCAAAGAAGGGGAAACTGTTTCTTGCCCCATAGTCCAATTATAACTCCTTTTTTTTTGACTCTACTGAAGTTACCCCAACATAGTACTACGCTGTTTCCACTTCTTCAAAAAAACAGGGCCACCTCCCGATCTTGCGAAAAGAGGTGGGATCCCCGAAATTTGCCAAAATCAGAATTGGGATCCGACCCTATGTCTCGATTGAACTAACAGAAAGATGCCATTTGCAGCATGGAGAGCACCATTATCTATAATACCCATCATCCACAGCTAAGACAGGCTTTGGGTCGGGACATCAGGACGTCTGTTAAAATTGGAACAATACAAACTTCAAGAAGATCAGCATCATAATGCCCTTTCCCAAGGGAAAAAGAGAAAAAGGCAAAAAGGCAATCATGCCAATGGGATCTGGCCAGTTATTTTCTCTGAACCAGATATGTTGCGTACGGTCAGCTCAAGCTTCTTAGAGTACTTGAAAGTGCTGCAGGCTCTTCCTGACCTGGTAGGCCTCCTTCCCCTAAAAACTCGACCAGGTGCAGTAAGGCCAGTACCCGCGTAGCGTAGGCCTCCTTCCACCACTTGCCAGATATGAAAATAAAGGTTTTATATCGATGGATGTTAAATACGGCATGCTGCACTAGCCAGTTCAAGATCTGGCAAATAGAGGAACGAGGCCAAAGGTATGTACTTTGGAATCTGGGAGGGAGAGGCTGGGGGGTGCAATTGGAGGACTGGGGTTGGCAAGGGAGGATTCGGACTGCGGTTGGGGAGATCCCAGCTGGAGTTGAAGAAGTTAGACGGCGCCCTTGCTGCACTGCTAGCCAGTGCTAGGCAAATGTGTAAAATGGCGACTGTGGGCCCTTGCTGCACTGCTCGGTAAATGCGTGAAATGGCGAGTGTACCTTTCACCCGGAAGGTGAAAAGATATATTCAACATGTGTTCCGTTTTTGAGAAAACAAGGGTGCGGTCATGGTGTGAATTTCTAAATGCATTTCAAATGTAGAAACTGCTTTTGTAACCGCGCCCTAGTTACCCCTATGTTCTTTCTTTGGGGGAAAGTTATAACCCCCTCCTTAATAAATCTTTGTATTTGTTTGCCGCCATATGGTGCAAAACGTGTGGGAGGCCCTAACACGAACCTTCACATCATTTTTGCAGCCTCGTTGAGCTGGTAATGCAAGTAGAGGCCGTGATGGAAAAATGTCACGAACGTTCTTTTCAGGCTGTGCAGGTATGCAGAAATGAGAGGAAAGCTTGTTCTATCGTCTTCCCCTGAATAGAGAGGAAAGCTTGTTCTAAGGTCATAATTATGGACGCATTTGGCTCACATTTGCAGATGCAGTGAAAATGAAAAGTAGGTAGGGCCTCCAACACTTTTTGCGCCGTTTTGGGGCGAACAAATACAGAGGTATTGCCATCAATTAGTAAAGTTTTCAGGTTAAACTTTTTGTTCTTTTTTCCCTTTTCTATGTCCGCAGCCGAGCTCAGTTGGTAAGGCACACATGTGACATTCTGTAGGTCTTCGGTTCAATCCCCATTGGCTTCATGTACCTACCTGGACTGCTAATGTTTAGAGGACAAGGTGACCGGAAGGGAGACACAGCCACTGGACGCTTAGATCATGAAGCTTGGTCCTGATGCTAGCGGCCGACCCCTGGCCAGTATATAGCCCACCTGCTGTAGCAGGTAACCCACCTGCTACTGGTGCAGCTCCCACGTGGAGGCTTGAACGAGGATGTGGCTGCTACAGGATTCTATAATGATAATAAAAAAGGCCTCAAACGCCATCCTGTCCAGATTTGACAGGTAATTGAATTGGTTGGGTTTATGAGAATCAGCCTTTTTTTTCCTTATTCGATTTTTTTTTCCACTTTTGTTTTTATATGTCGTTCACAGTGGCTGACGGGGGCCTTCGCACGTTCTGGAAGAAATGATGCTCTTGGCTGAGGGTGTACTCACATCATTAGGACTTCTCTAGTTGTTAGGGCTTTGCATGCGTGTATCGGACCGCAATTACGACCAGAGGAGAGCAGAAACGTTCTAGTGTGAGCATGCCCAGGGATGCCAGCATCAGCTGGTTTGCTCCTTGCCGGATAGACTGCCAACCCGGCCTATGTGGCTGTATGGTGAAGAGATATAACAGCAAGTAAACCGAACATGGGTTCAAACCCCAACACGAATGTGGCGAACATTTAGGACTAACCACAACAAAGTTAGGGCCTTCTCCTCCGAAATTAAAATCCAATGAAAACCAGCCAGCCTAGCTCAGTTGCATGCTGATTAGCTCCTGGGGTGGATTCTCCCTGTGTTGTAGGAAATTCCTCTCCTTGCGATGCTGCTGGAATCGGAGCTGGCCGGTACCCGAGGTTACCCCCTGGTACTCCAGCTGAGAGAAGGTTGCCTCTTGATGTCTCAGGATGGATCGGCGGCATACCATAATGCTGGAACGTTGATCCGTACTGCATACCCTGATTGAACATGGGCTGATTGCCCTGCCACATGTATGGGGGTACATGGCCCCAACTCGCTCCCTGTGGATCGCCGTGATGGGGAGGGAAAACCTCCCTGAAAAGCTGCAAGTGCAGGTGATACCAGTGGGTTGAGGTGGATGTTATTGTCACCGATCATGCCCCCTTGGGTGTGCTGTTGCTGATGTTGATGAGCAGAACTCGCTTGTTGTGATGGTGATGATGGTCGTGTTCCCAATGGACCTTGATAGATGGGAAGCGGCTGTTGTCCTTGATCACCCGCGTTACCTCGTGTTACTTGTTGTCCTTTTCCTGAAGCTTGGTCCCGTTGACGAGATCCTCGACGACAATCCTCCTCCGTGTGGAAAAAAACACGGCATCGGCGACAGCGTGGAGTTTCTGAAGACGCCAGCTTAACCTCCAGCGAATCTCCCTCAAAAGTGTCGACCCATATTACATCCTTCATGTTGGGACGGCTAGCTGGATCTACATCAAATTTGATGTTGATCAGCGATGGCTTCATTCGATCCTGTTCCGCTGGATGCATGAGAATGATCGGGCCGATGGCGCGTCTGATATGAGCTTCGAGATACATCATCGCGTCGAGTGGAACTTGAACAGCAATAACCCAAAAGGTAGACTCGTCCTCTTCGCGTCCTTGAGCCTTCAACTGCGCCTTGGTTAGCAATGGCTTGAACTCCAGGTTATAAGCCGTTTTCGCAAGAGTGACGTTGTCACTACCCCTGTTCACTAGCCATGTCACAACCTCCGTGCTTCTCGCCACATAAGAGACTACATTGGGACTCTCTATTCTCACCCGTCCACGTCTGAAGTTGAGCGGATCGAAAGTGCCATCTCCAGTTCGTTTGTTTTCATACGCTCGAACAATATCATCTTTCACCTTTCTCGGTAGGAATCTGGCGCCTTCCTTAGAGATGACCATGACAGCATGCGCCTTAAGCCAGTTCACCTTAGCTTGATCGATATTGGTATTCACCTTGAACCGTGCCTCCCGTCCCACCACTGTCATCTCGCCAGGGTCTAAGTTTGTAGGGATAATCCCTTCTTCATAGCACAAGTGGATCAACTCCTTCATTCGATCATCCTCCTCGTTTCCTCCTTCCGGTGCTGGAGGAGGAGAACGCACCTCTTGCTCCATCACCACTTCCTGTACTGCTGCCATCTCCAATCACTCTGGCCCCTGTGTGACGTTTGCGCATCTCAGATCTCGGAAAATACTCCGGGATCTACGTGATAGTCTCTGTCTTGATGATGTCAGAGTACGTAAGTTCGTCGGTCTTCAGACCTTTCTGAACTACAAAGGTAATGAGCTAATTTGGCATGGAATATGTCTGAGACGTATTGGAAAACTATCACGGGTAAAGGGGAATACCTATGGCAAGAAAGCTTTCAAGAGAAGCATGGAATTATCGCTGAGGCTAACATGGAACAGAGCTTTAGCAGGTTTGTCGCTGCAGTGTCGCAATGCACGTCCTGGAAAAAGTTGAGGTAATGTGAGGAGAGAGTACCTACAAGGTAGAAGCTATTAGAAGTTGAAGATACATAGCACTACACGTGTATTGTGACGAAAACTGGACACTTACTGTATAGGAGGCCGGATCCGGACAGGAGTGATGGCTTCTACACGTGGTGGAAAGGCCACATGACCGTGCCGCATGGCGGAGGGTGATGAACAAAGTTAAACCATCTCCAACGCGGAGGAATCATGACGGTAACTCGCGCGTCCTCCCATTCCTAGCGTCGCCGCCGGAACGCGCCTGGTCCGAGCGCTGCGTTAGCGCCAGCGAAGGTGCGCCGGTCTGTCTCTGTCCAATCCGGCGGGGTGTTTCGAAGAGGGTGGCCCCTGCGTAACATAGCTTTTTTCTGGATTTTTTGGATTTTGATGTGACCCTGGGGCAAACATTGTTCAGTTTATTTTTCTGCATAACATAGCTTTTTTCCGGATTTTGGATTTTGTTGTCTTCTTTTTTTTTGCTGGGACCTTCCCTGTGGTCCTTGCATGGCTGGCCACCTGGGTTTCTGCCGCAATGTCTAGGCGACACCCGCGATGTCTAGGCCACACCCGCGGCTGGGCCACGGCCGCGATGTCGCCCGTGGCCGCCCGCGGCTGCCCATGGCCGTGATGGGCCACAGTGACTGTCGTGAAAAAAAAAAAACAAAAAAAAAAAAACAGAAAACAAAAAAAAAAAAGCAAAAAAAAAAAAAAAACACAACCGCCATCACGAAACCGCCACCCTGACACCACTGCCGGCCTGAGTTACAACTGCCTTTTCGAACTCAGGCCATGACAAAGTTGCGCTGCCTGTTTTTGTCTGCCCATTATAAGCTCCCATGTGACATAAACGTACTTCCCTCTTTTTTTAATCATTTTAGCGTTCAGAACTTCAGAGTTATGAACATGGTTGCAGCTTCTGAAGGGGATCATACTCCTGAGAACTTCAACTTGTAGTATGGAATGTATAATCCCCCACACCAGGTCCCATGCATTCAAAGGGAACATCCACATCTTCGTTTTATTTTGCCTCATTTCATCGGGTTCAGACTCATGATGAGGGCCGCAGCTTCTGACGGGAATTGTGCTTCCCGTACTTACAGTTTGCAGCAGCTTCTGACGGGAATTGTGCTCCCCGTACTTACAGTTTCTGATGAATACTCCCAGGGATGCAGGTCCGATACATTATAGAAATTTGTAGCACGAAAGTGACCTACAACGTTGAACTTCATTTTCTGACGGGAATTTCTCCACGCAGGCTGCTGGAGGGGGAAAGGGGGAAGAGAGAGAGAGAGAGAGAGAGAGAGAGAGAGAGAGAGAGAGAGAGAGAGAGATCTGGGGAAAGTGGCGGGCGCTTTGCCTTGCCACCATCCGTGAGACCAAGTTTCCCAGTAGCTTCAGTCTCGGCCGAAGTGTCTGCGACCAGGCCTGTTCAGACACTGGCCTGGGACCGAATTGGTTAGGCGGAACTCACGCCTGGCCAACCACCCACTGGCAGGCGCAAACGCGCGATGCTCCCTGCTTCGACCACGTTGCTGGAAGAGCCTGGAAAGCTCACGAATATTGTGAATTCTGCGCCGAACAAGATTTGCAAAAATTGACGAGTTCAGAGGCCCCCCTTCACTTAGGGCGGGCACGTGCCTGATGCAGGGCCTTATGCTGTTGTGCCGAGGGATCAAGGGCCTTATGCGGTTATGCCGAGGGAAACCCTCGCATGGAGTTCAAAATTTGCAAACTGGGAACGAGTCCTCCGGCCTTCAGCCAAAGATTCACTCTCATTTTTGCTCTAAGGCTTGGATCCCCCTATTGTTAGTGAGGCAATTTGAGGTCAAAATTCGGATCCCACAATGCACCGGGGCTCTCGGGACCCGAAACAATTTCGCCTGTTTCTACTCACTATTTGCATGGTGGACCAACATATTTCCGCAGGATTTTTGCAAAAGCCCCTCGAAGGACGGGCCTGTGGAGTCCAAAAAAAATTTTACGGACCAAAAGGCAAGGACCCTCCTTTCGAGGGGCTTTTCCGACTTTTTGTTAAAAGCGCCATGTGGGATCCAAGCCTAAGGCAACCGTGCGCAAGGTGGCAACAGACACACAGAGGGAGAGAGACAGAGAGCATCGTGGCAACCCGCGAACTGCTCCAAGCCCTGCGGCGCACTTGCCGGGATTCTCTCTCTCTCACACACACACACACACACACACACACACACACACACACAGAGTGTGTCTCTGCCCCCTTCTAATTCGCAGAATGAGAATGAACATTCTGTGTTTATCACGGAAGATTCATTCTCATTTTGCAGAGTTTGCGCGGTTCGAAATCTGGGATTCTGCAAAATGAGAATGAATCCTATGTTTTTATCACGGGAGATTCATTCTCCTTTTGCAGAATTAGATCTGCGTGGGGCCACACTGAGAGAGAGAGAGAGCGAGAGTGAGACACAGAGAGAGAGAGAGAGAGAGAGAGAGAGAGAGAGAGAGAGAGAGAGAGTCCACTGCGGTGAGTTTGCCGTGGGGCTCCGAGCTGTTGGCCGGGCATCGTGGTGCTCTCTCCTTTTCTCTCTCTCTCTCTCTCTCTCTCTCTCTCTCTCTCTCTCTCTCTCTCTCTCTCTCTCTCTTACCCCCGGGCCGGGCCCGTGTTTTTCCCATTGCTGTCTTCTTTTTTTCTTTTTGCTTTTTTTTTTTTTCTCCTTTTTTTCTTTTTTTCTTTTGCTAGTTGAAACAGTAACGTACTGGTTGTTCCTCCCTCGACCCCCATCCAATGCGGCCGTTAACGTGCCCCGTCCAAAAAAAAATGGCTGGCTGAGGTACTGGTGGCTTAGAGGATGTCCCGAAGGACATCCCTGTGACGTACCAGCTCCCGTACTCGAATGAACTCCTGAAGGCCTGTGTTTTTCTTTCGGGTCTTAGGGTTTCTTCTTTTTGGCTGGTAGGTAATGCATGAGTCCAATGGCCGCCGAGGCCTCCCCACTTCAAAGTGTTTTTCTCAGGACTTTTGGAATTTTTGTTTCACATCGGTGAACTTTCGTAGGGATTACATGCGCCTTAGCAAGTGCGCTAGGAATTTTGTTCGGCAATTGGGAAACTTGGAAATTCCAGAATTTGCGGACGCACTTCTCAGTGACGTTTTTTTTCTTTTTTTTTTTTCTTTTTTTTTTTTTCAAAACACGTGCTCCATCTATTGGTGGGGAGCAGCACCTGCTGGAAACCGGGTCCAGCGTCCCATAGATACAACCATATCCTCTCGAATTGGCACAAGCTGGGAACCGGGCCCAGCGTCCCATGAGTACGTTCAGAAAAATCATCAGAAAATTTCAGACAATGAACCTCAGGATATACTGAGACAGTCCAATTAAAAGAATTGAAAGAATTTAAAGCGACTTCAGAGCTACTTCAGAGCTTTTGTATAAGGGACTGCAGAGATAAACAAAAAGCAGAAGAAGACTCGGGAATCCACCAAGAGTCCTCCTCACCCCACTCCGGCAAGACTTACTGCAGCAAAGCCACGATCTCTACTGCTGATATGCCCTATTTCTGTCCTACCAGCTAGCCCCTTTGCTAGCAGGACGCGTGATGCCTTTCTCTCTCGATCCCATCCCTTCCCGGTACTCAGACAAAAGTACGGAAATAGACTGCAAAATTTCTAAAAAGCCCCCAATCCCGAAAAATCCCTAACAGATCCTTCCAAGGATCTCCAACACTGTAATATTCCCTGCCGAGCTTCCAGGCCTCACAACCCTATCCTGCTGGGTTACAGGGCAACGCAACTCACCCCAGCTCCGGCCAGCGTTGTCTCAGCAGCAACCCTTAGTTGTCCCGTGGAATGCCCCCCCAAAGCACCCCCAGATCTCTCTACCAGGCCTCATGCCCCTGCGTCAACAGGTTACAGGGCAACACCCCAGCACCGGCCAGCGTCGTTCTGTCGTCAAACAGCCTTAGGTCACCGAGTATTACAGCTTGGAACTACCTAGAAGAGATTGCCAGGAAATCCGAGGATCCGGAAGACAGTTTTAAAGACAGAACAGCCTACCCCCTTTTTTGAGAATTTTTTGAAGTGAAGATACCGGGGCCATTACCCGGCTTTGACACTGAGATATTAGAATGACTTCAGACGTGTCTACAGCAGGCTTCATGATTTGAACAGGGCCCCCAATCAATCCCCTTATCCCTACTCCAGCAAGACTTACTGCAGCAGAGCCACCATCTCTGCTACTGCTGTGCTCTATTCCCATCCTACCAGCTAGCCCCCTCACTAGTAGGACGCGTGACACCCCACCATCTACATGCCACAGTTCTGTCTTCGTCATCGAAGGGGAGGTCCCGGAAAGTCGACAAGTGCACCAGTTCTGTCTTTGTCATCGAAGGGGAGGTCCCGGATCACCCTCCCCAACTCCATCCTAGCAAAGGGTTCGAAGGACCATATCCTTAGCATAACCCAACAGAACCTACACTCACCTCCTTCACCCCCCAAACTCCGTCCTAGTAAAGAGTTCGACATACTTGCGCATGAGCGTCCCCTAATTCGTCCCGGAAAACCTTGTGAATGTTTTTATAGGAATCAAAATAGGTGTGGAAACTTGCGCACTTGATCCGTCGCGCAGATATTGTTCTTGAATTTTTCAATCTTGAGTCAGACCTAGGAACTGGGATCGTCCAACATTGGGTGTGGCATAACTGTTTCGGTGCCTTTCCTTGTTG